TAAATCGTATTCCACGTCCACGTGTTGTTGCACTTGTGCCTGCAGATCTTATAATCAAAGAACAACCGAGGTTTTGTTCCCGTTGTCTAATTCAATGTTTAAGTCGACTCCGTCCACGTTGTATTTTTTTCTCGCGAAGATGGTTTTTCTCACGAAAGCCTCCCAGTCGACGCCGTCTACGCTGTAGCCGGGCGTCGTCGATAGTCGTCGTCTTTTGTGCCCTTCGCACGGCGGAGGGTGCGTTCCGTCGTCCGTCTTTGGTGTCCCCCCCTCAAACATCGTCCCCTGGATCTGCCCAGGGGCGCGTTCTCAGGGGCAACGCCAGGGAGGGAGAGGCTCCTGGGGGGATGCATCGACCCCCAATCGCCCATCCATCGTTATTTGGGGCCTCAAGGCCTTTTCCACCCAGGACTATGAGGATTCGCTGTCGGGGGCCCTTCTCCTATCTGTCTGTCGGCGGTGTATCGCCGACTCCAGCTTGATGTCGCCCTCCTTTAGTTGGACCCCACCTTAGTTTCGGACAGAAGTCCTAGCTGCGGCGACGAGGGCGCCCTGGGAGGTTCAAGATGGGGCCGAATGTTGCGGGACAGAAAGTGACGACGTTGCGAAGCACAAGTGCAACATCGCGAACAGTCACAGCCCGAGCCCCGGACCCAATCTGCCGCATTGTTCGATTTTTGTCCATCCGCAAGGTCCTCGGAGCCCGAAACGAGGAAGAGTCCCCCGTGGTGAAGAAATGCGACGTCATGATCTTACGTGGATGCAGGAGGGGGATGGGAAAAGCACCCCTCCCCCCCTCCCGCGGGGCCCGTATTGTTTAGGGCAGACGAATAAGATTTGGAGGACGAAGCCGATTTTCGAAGTCGCGCCCGCCTGCCAGATTCTTTTGGGCGTCGCGTTGGCCGTCGTCATCATGTCGGTCGTCGTCCGTCGTCGGTCTTCGTCGTCGTCGGTCGTCTGTCGTAGGTCGGCTGTCGTAGGTCGTCAGTCGTCGGCCGTCGGCCGTCGGCGGCGTCGTCGTCGTTGTCAGTGCCCCGGGACTGCAAGACGCCCACGCAGCCCCTGCCTCCCACTCCTTGTGCCATCCGAAGTCCGCCGTGGTGTCCGTCGTCGTCGTCGCCCCAGGACTGCTGCGGGTCGCCCCCCGCAGCATGCCATCCACGCTTCGCCGTCGTCGTGTAGGGTGGCTCAGAACTCACTCTGGGGGTGTCCTACCCCCCCTGTGGGGAGCGACCCCGCGAATCGATCCCCACAGAGCCCTGTGGGGATGCACGCGCGCGTGATAGCTCAATTTCATGAAGCTTGGTCTCTGAATTTCCATTTCGTCGTGCGTCGTCGTCTCGTCCCCCGGGGGCTTTCTGGACGCCCACGCTGGACGCCCACGCTGGACGCCCACGCGGCCCCTCCGCCCCTCCCCACATGCCGTCTGCGGTTCGCCGTCGCCTCCGCTGCTGTCGTCGCCCCCGTCGCCCGTCGGCCCCCCCAGGACAGCACGCCGCCCGTTCCGTGGGTTCGGATGCAACTCCTGGGAGGTCAACTTCGAAATCCAGCTTAATCCAGCTTGACCTGGCTTAATCCCGCTTGCTCCCGCTTAATTCGGCTCAATCCTGCTTGGTCCGAGGCCCTTTTTGGCGCAACAGCTCCCAAATGGGGCTCAATCCTCCTTCATCTCTCCGACGAGGACCTCCCAGTAGTTGCCTCCTAACATGGGGCACCGACCAGGCCGAGTCGCCGGCCCCGCCGCTCCGAAAACCGTCGGCCCCCTCGGGTCTCCCCCTGGCCTCTCCTGGACGGCCGGGGGGAGGCCAGCCCGAATTTTATCCGCCTGCCGTGGGCCCAGCTCCTCGGCGCTTCTTCTTATGGGGATGCTCCGACCGGGCCGAGTCGCCAGGCCCGCCTCTCCGAAGACTGTCGGCCCCCTCGGACCTCCCCTCGGCAACGCGCAGAGGGGGGTAGGGGGAGGGGGGAAGGCTTCTTAGAAGCACCCCTGCTTCTTAGAAGCCTTCCCCCGAATGTTATCCGCCTGCCGCGGGCCCAGCTCCTCGGCTTCTTCTTCCGGGGCTGCTCCGACTGGGCCGAGTCGCCGGCCCCGCCGCTCCGAAGACTGTCGGCCCCCTCGGGCCCCCCCCTGGCCTCCCGGACGGCCGCGGGGGCCAGCCCGAATTTTATCCGCCTGCTAGGGGCCCAGCTCCTCGGCTTCTTCTTATGGGGATGCTCCGACCGGGCCGAGTCGCCGGCCCCGCCGTTCCGAAGACTGTCAGCCCCCTCTTACCAGTTTGAAGTGTATATCTATCCCTATAGCCTATGGTTGACATCACCTCACCTCGATGCCAACCTTAAGGATTCCCTCAGTTTCTGAGGGCCTATCCCTAAGATTGTCCTCGTTTTTTGCTCGCCCATCTTAGGGATAGGGATAAGTTCGAGGCTGGTTACCCACGGGCCTGCCCCTGGCCTCTCCCGGACGGCCGGGGGGGGGGCCAGCCCGAATGTTATCCGCCTGCCGGGGGCCCAGCTCCTCGGGCTGCTTCTGCTGGGGGCCGCGGGGCCAGCGTGAAGTCGGGCCTGTCCCTCTACAGGGGGAGATTCCACAATAGTCAAACAATAGTTTTGGGGACTATTGTTTGAGTATTTGTTCGAGCATGTTTTGAGTCTGTTTGGGGTATGTTTTTTTTTCCTCCACAGTTTCGAACATTTGTTGTTCTTCCTCCAAAATCCCTCTGTAGGGGGACAGGCCCGATTTCAGGCCAGCGACATTTGTCTTGTGGATCGCCCCCCACACTTCAAGTCGAAGTGTTCACCACCATTCGCTTGTGAACGTCCGCGTCGTCGTCGGTCGACGTCGTTGCCCGCGCTCCACACGGCGGAGAAGGTTCGGAGTGGTGGTGGAGGGTCACCTGTTGGTGGGCGCTTTCTGGCAACACTGCCCACGCTGCCTGGGTAACAGCGTCATATAATGTATTCCTACTATCTAGTCGGTGCGGGCGTACGCCTGCAAATGGGGGGGGGCGCATCGTATTATGCAAGGAAAATCCACCCATACCCGATACTCGGCGTTTGCTACACGGCCCTGGGCGTTTTCCTAAACCGCCTTGCCCTGTTCGATTCCTTCTTTGGGCGTGTTTGCTACAGGGCTCCGCGTGTCGAAGCGATCATTGTGAAGGTGGATCTGTTGCTCTCTAGTTTACAGTGCCGTTTTTTATACATGCTCCGCGTGCGGATCATGTATTGAACATGCAGGGATTTAGTATCAAAAACAACGATGAGTTCGTGCATATATTCCATCACGAATGAGTCATTTATTGCAATCATATGTTCTATGAAATCCGATGTATGACAAACTGCCCTGTACTCCCCTGGTCACAAGGTGCGCTTTTGGCAGGTCCTGCTGGCGAGCCGTCCAGGGGACTTCCCCTTGGGCCTAGCGGCTCCTCTCGGGTCCCTGGTTTGACGGCCCCGGGGGCCCAGAAGCGGCCTTGGGAGGCCAGCAGTGCTACGCCATAGCGGGGGAGCGGAGAGAGCATACGCACGAACACAAGCACAGGCAAGAACACAGGCACAAGCACGAGCACGGACACGAACACACACGCACACAAGCACAAACCCAAGCACACGCACAGGCACAACCACAAACACGACCACGACCACAAACACAACACACACAACCACAAACACAAAACACGAACACACAGCAACATCAACACAAACACACACACACAACCACACACACAACCACAAGCACACAAACACAAACAAACCACAAACACAACCACAAACACACACACACAGACACAAACACAAGCACACAAACTCAATCACAAACAAACCACACACAAACACCAACACAAACACACACATACACACACGCACGCACGCACGCACGCACGAAGCCGCCCGCCCACCCGCCCACCCACCCACCCACGCACCAACCCACCCACCCATCCAACCGCCCACCCACCCGCCCACGCACGCACGCACGCACCCACCCACGCCCGCCCGCCCGCACGCACGTACACACGCACGCACACGCCGCACGCGCCTCACACGCCGCCGAACTCGCCGCACACGCCGCGCACGCCGCACACGCCGCACACGCCGCAGACGCCGCACACGCCGCACACGCCGCACACGCGCACGCGCGCACGCGCGCACGCGCACACGCGCATACGCGCACACGCGCGCACGCGCAAACGCGCACACGCCGCACACGCCCGCCCGCCCGCACGCACGTACACACGCACGCACACGCCGCACACGCCGCACACGCCGCACACACGCACACGCACACGCACACGCACACGCACACGCACACGCACACGCGCACACACGCGCACACGCGCACACACGCACACACGCAACACACGCACACACGCACACACGCACACACGCACACGCACACACACACACACACACACACACACACACACACACACACACACACACGCACGCACGCACGCACGCACACAACACACACACACACACGCACACACACACACACACACGCGCACGCACGCACGCACGCACACACGCACACACGCACACACGCACACACGCACACACGCACACGCACACACGCACACACGCACACACGCACACACGCACACACGCACACACGCACTGACACACACACACACACGCACACACACGCACACACACAAACACCCACTCACACACGAACACACGCACACTCAACACAGCACAACACAACACGACAACACACACAACAACAAACACAAACACAACCACACATACAACTACACGCACACACACACACACTCGCACACACACTCGCACACACACTCGCACACATATGCAACGCACCGACACACGCACACCAACATTAACCCACATTCACACATGCACACACACATCGACTATTCAAGTTGCGTTGCTTTCCCAGGTCAGTGTAGTGTGTATTATGTCCTTGTGCGTCCCTCCATCTTCTGGCCGTCGTCGACCGTCGTCGGCCGTCGTCGGTCGCTCGCACCCCGCACGGCGGACAGGGTGCGCTCCATGGTCGGACTCATTCCGCTGTTCGCCGTGGAGGTCCTGGAGCCGGAGGTGCTGGACAAGCTGCCCAAGTTCGCGAGCAGGCGCCCAGGGGGGAGGGAGGATCGGGGAGAATCGAGGGGGGGAGGGGTAGAATCGAGGAGGGGAGGGGGAGGGGAGGTGAGGGGAGGAAAGGGGTGGGGGGAGAATCGAGGAGGGGAGGGGAGAGTGGAACGGAGGTTCGAGGAGAGGAAGAGAGGATGGGAGGGTGGAAGGGTGGATCGACGGGAGGGGGGAAACAAGGATCGAGGAGGATAGGGAGGTCGGGGTGGGGGGGAGGGCAGGTCGAGTGTCCGGGAGGGGAGAGGATGGGGGGGGGGAGCGAGGGAGGATCGTGGAGGGGAGGGCAGGGGAGGGGGGTTCGAGGCAGGGAGGTCCGAGAGAGGGGGGGGAGGGAGGGTAGAGCACCCAGGTTGAGGGCACGACGCGGTCCAGGACCGTGGGCGCCCCCACGGAAGCCCCACGCTCCGCGCAGGGTGCAGGGACACACGCCTCGCCATGCTGGGCCAGGCCCCCGGCCGAGGGAATCGCGGCACCGCGGCTCAACCCCTGAGCCCCTCCAAGCTGGGAGGGAATCCTCCCTCCTCCCTCCTCCTCCCTCCCTCCCCCCTCCCTCCTCCCTCCTCCCTCCTCCCTTCTCCCTCCTCCGCGCCGGGACGCGCTCGGCTGGTGCTCGGCACGCTGAGGCGATCGTGCGCGAAGGAGTCTGTGCTTAGACAGCCCCAGGCATCTCATCAGCTTCTGGCGTACTTCTACACCGCACTCTTTTCTATACCCCTGTGTTGTGTATGTGCGCTGGAATTTTCGGGGTTGGACAGACTTCCTACCCTGACACGTCGATGAAGGAATTGGCCGTTTTAGGTTCGCGAGGGGGCGTCGCGGCCGTCATTTTTGCGGGTCCAGGTCCGTCGGTTTCGGTCCCAGGCCGTTTTCACTAAGGGGAGGTTTGCTAGAGGGAGGTTTGTCCATCTCCGAAATTTGCCTGCACGCGCGGGGCATGTGCCTGGCATGTGCCAGGCATGTGCGGGCCTGTTTGACTTGTGTTCTTTTTGTACATGCGCTCCTGGGCATGCGCAGGGTCATGTTCGCTGCGGCTGGTGCGGCCTTTATATCGGCATATGTCAGGGGGGTGGGAAAAACACAGACACTATGAATCGTCGATTCCCCAGAAAAAAGGTGGGAAAATATAGGAAATGGGGGGAAGACAAAATCCCAGAGGATGAGGGAAAATCTGGGGAATCTGGTTTTTGTGCCTATTCATTCGTGTGTCCCAGTTTCCCTTCAATATGCTTGCGCATGCCGGAGCACATGCCCACACATGCCTGCATATGCGGAAAGTGCGTGATCATTGCAGATCCGCCAGCGGCACATGCGCGCACAGGCCGCGCGGGCCCGCACATGCACCCACGTGCGTCGAGACGCGCGTCTGCACATGCTCGCACATGCCGGCGCACATGCCCGCACTTTCGGAGCTGTCTGGGATCCCTGGAATAGATGAGCCTTCGAGGCTTTTCAAATATATTAAAGCACATAAACACATAAGCATAAACCTTTGATGCTTACTGACAGATAACTTCGCACAGCTAAAACTAAACTTAATACATCTCATAACATTATCTCAGAGCTTCGAGGCCTTCCATGGAAAAACACATAAGCATAAACTTTTGGCGCTCCGTGCGAATTTCTTGGATCCGCGCCGGGCCCCCCCCTTGCGGAGCCTCCGGCGCCGCCCCTGGCGCGCGGAGCGCCAACAGTTTGTGTTTATGTAGGCTTCTCTTCTTCTAGATGGGCCTCCAAGGTTTCCCAAATATGTCTGTGGCCATGAGCTGGTCCGATGCCGTACATGCTGAGGCCGTGCGTGCTTGACTCGCCCACTGCTGATTGGAACGCTTCTTCGCCCGCGGGTCACGTTCGTGTGCTTCACCTCTTGTCGTCGGAACCAGACGAAGGGGGGAAATAGAAAAAGGGAGGGAAGACTTTGGCAGAGGACAAGAAGGAGCAGGCGCTCGCAATTCGCATCTCGGACGGCGTGCTTGCGAAGAGCGTCCAGGGAGAGGGAGACGGGAAAGAGGGCGAAAAATATGAGGCCCGTTTCGCATGGGACATCGTCAGAGTTCAGGGCTTCAACATGTATTGGATTGAAGTGACTTGCTCCGCTATGCGCAGGTTATCCTTCCATCTGGACTTCAGAAGGCGATTCTCGAAGTGTTCCTTTCCCTTTCGCGTGAGGTATCTTCAGAATCCTGGGCTCCGTGATGAAGGCCTTCGCTCGGGTGATGCGGCCTGCCTCGCTTGGGACATCCCAGAGGTTTGGGTTCCAGGATTCGGTTTTGAAGGTGGTCCCGCCCGTTTCGCGTGAGCCACCCTCGTAGCACGGGGGTTCGATGTAGTTTGGTTCGAGGCGATCTGCTCCGATTTGCCTTGGGACTCCGAGACAACGGTGTCCAAAAAGTCCGGCGTGGACCACATGGGGACGCGCAGGGTCATCCGCCATCTTTGCAGCGTGACCGCTTGCGGTGGTCGGCCACCGACGTGCCCAGCCCGTGCAGATGCTGTGCGGGGCCCCGAATCACCCGTTCCTCGGCCCACGCCATGCGCAGGCGCGCGCAACCCTTGCGCCGCCCGCGCTCCATCTGGCCTCGGAGATGCCCCAGCCAACGATACGATGACAGTCCAGCCGCTTAGCCTTGAGACATCCTCGCAACTCTGGTACAGAGATTCCCTGAACTCTGGTGGTTTGGCCACTTTCGCTTGACACGTCTTGGCAACTAAGGGCTCTGAGATTCCCTCGCACCTTTGACCTCGGAAATGCCCTGGGCGTAGGTGGTCAGGTCAGTCGTTTCCCTTGATATATCCTCGCAACTCTGAGTGCCCCGAGTGTGTGTGGCAACGAGGCGTTGACGGGCAGTCACGCGGTCAGACTTCGACGGGCGCCCCCAACAGGGCGGCAGCGAGGCGGCAACGGGCGGCGAAGTGGCCGAATCTCGACGGGCCCATTCAATCTCGTAGGAACGCAAATGGTTGCCCCTAAACGCAAGCACTGCTAAGTGGAAGCGCCATCATGAAACCAAACAACAACATAATTAAATTAGGCCGCGCGGGCCCAAAACAGTACGTAAGCTACGTGGTGTTCATGAACTATTTGGCAGCAGCGGGCGGCAACGTGGTGAATCCTCGGCGACCTCACGCAGGCGCCAACAAACGGCATCGTGGTGAATCCTTGGTGCACCAACGCTGTGGGCAACGGTCGGCAGCGCGGCGGATCCCTTGCACACCCCCACAGGCGGCAACGGGCGGCGACGTGGCGAATCCTCGGCATGCCCTCACACGCGGCGCCAGGTGACAGCGGGGCGTTTTTTCGGCGTCCCCCACAGGCAGAAGCGAACGAGAACGGGCGGAAAGGTGGCGATTCCCCGGCGTGCCGTCACGAGTGGCAGCGGGCGGCCACGTGCCGAAGTGTTTGCATACCCACAGGCTGCAACGTGGCGAATCTTCGGCACACCCCCGCAAGCGGAAAGGGGGGGCAACTTGGCAAAGCCTTGGCATACCCGCAGGCGGCAACGGGCGGCAACGTGGCGAATGCATGGCATACCCCCGCAGGCGGCAACTGGCGGCAAGGTGGCGAATCCGCGGCATCTCACAGGCGGAAGCGGGCTGCAACGCGGCGAATTAGGGCTAAAGGGCTACAGGGCTACAGGGCTACAGGGCTATAGGGCTTTAGGGCAATTCGGGCTAGAAGGCTATAGGGCTATTGGGTTATTGGGGGCGATGGGGCTATGGGGCAAAAGGCAATAAGGCTATAGTGCTATAGGGCTATGAGGCTGTAGGTCTATGAGGCACCCGGGCACCTGGGCACCCGGGCGGGCCGCGGAAACCGTTGGCACGCCTCACCTAACCACATGAATCCGCTAGGACCCCTACAGACCTTATGTGATTGGCATCTTACTCTTTCCTTCTCTCTGCCTTCATCGTTCTCGGCCCCACAGGCAGGTCCCGCATCACAGAATCCCGAAATAGCGCATTGCTACATGACATGATCGAAAAACACACCGTCGAATACTGATGACATCACGCCATTTCTCCCTCTAGGCCACCAGCTGCTGCAGCGCCTCGCCAAGAGCAGACAGCTCCCCATCCAGATTCGAGAGCCGATTCAAGCTGGTCATTCTTCAGTGAGGTTGAGCATCTGATATCTATACTCGTTCAACACAAGATCATGCTCCATTGTATTTTCGCTCTTGATGTTATGCTTTTCCTATCTAACTGTGCTGCTCCTGGCGCTTTCTGTTTTCTTGCGACAATGCCAAGAGGCACTTCCCAAAAACAGTTTATCATTGGCGACTGCACCCACAAACTTCGGCATGAGCCAGCTCTGAAAGTCCTCGCCTGTTCTGGCAGCACAGACGTATACAATGACACCACCGCTGATGTATCACATATACCGTATGGAAAGGTGATCGTTTTTTATTCATACTTTTGCCGATCGGCGTGGGCCCTCGCACCCCCCCCCTCCCCCCCACCGTGGAGTAGATCTTGGCTGTTTGTGGCGCCTGTTTCGAGCAGGTGGAGTCTCCCCCAGTAGGACGCACGGTCCCAAACAGACGCACTAAGCAGAGGTCCGCAGCAAGACCCCCCCCCCTCCCCCCCCTTCCGCCCAGTGTTGAAACGCCGAAAAAAGAGCTCACGAGAAAGTCTCTAGCCAAGGGCGGCGGGAGGGGCTGGCTGGAAGGCTGGTCCGGGGTGGCGCGCTGGGGATTTACGAGAAAGTTGACCGTGGGGTGACCGATACAGTCGGGGCCCTGAAGAAGGAACCCTTTTCGTTGGGGAGAGGCTCCGCGTTCCTTAAGTGTTTCACAGCTTGCCTCAGGTTTTCCTTAAGTTTTCGATCGGAAATCGAAGTTTCACTTATGGAAAAAAGGGTCCCCGTTCCTTATTTAGGGTTCCTTAGGTCAACGCCCCGACTGTATGTTGGATCATCAAATCTCGTGGTAAGTCGGGCACGTCCCTCTACAGGAGGAATATTCAAACATAGCCAAAACATAGT